GTAGTCAAGAGCACACTAACCAAGACCAAGATATACCCGAGACCAAGACAAGACCAAGACCAAGACAGGGCGAGACCAAGACAAGTCCACGACATTTAGGGATTGAGACAGAGACAAGACCAAGACCAAGGCAGGACGAGGCCAAGACAAGACCAAGACCAAGGCAGGGCGAGACCAAGACAAGTCCACGACATTTAGGGATTGAGACAGAGACAAGACCAAGACCAAGGCAGGACGAGGCCAAGACAAGACCAAGACCAAGGCTGGGTGAGACCAAGACAAGACCATAAATATCACTGAAAAATCATCATCTTGTGTTTAGGGGGCGTGTCACTCACTTAGACCGTAACACCGGGAAGGCTGCAGCCGTAACCGGGGGATAAAAATCAAACTACGGATGACTTTAAGTTATTTGTTCTTTTCAAAAGGGGCGTTTACCTTCTAATCACAGTAATGACAGTAAGATAAAAGCCCATCAGTGGTGGTCTTGACCGGTCTTGATTTAAACAAACAGGTTGGGAGGTTTAAATTCAGGTTTCTAAAGTGCCCAAAAGGTAAAAATGTATTTCATGTCATCCCTTTTCTTAAGAGTCCAGTGCAGAATACGACTTAAAGGTAAATTCCTGCACAATGTCTAACTTGCAAACAAACATTTATTGGCACCAGACCTTCATCAGACAAACGGGTGAAGAATGCAGAATAAGAAAATGACTCGAGGAACACTGAACAGTAACTGGTCTGAGGTGTGTGTATGACAGTGCCCTGCTGAGAAATCTAAGTTATATCAAGTGTTTTTCATTTCCCAGACACTAAACAGAAACTGTTCTGATTGCTGTTTCAGTTATGGACGAGTTCGACCAGTTTTTGTGAGCCTTGATGGGAAACGTGTAGTACACTCACACACCTGTTCCTGGACCAAATTCCAATCGTCGCCCAATCAGGTTTCAGGGAAATGCATCACAACCCGGTCTGTTGATGTATTCTTATAAATGTACTCAGAGTTTTAGCTTTCTTTGTGAGGTGTGTTTGTGTGTTCTGTTCATGCACCTTGTCCCAAAGCTCGAGCTCACTGATGACCTGCTGCTCTGAAAGCCTGACTCTGCTCAGCGTACTGTTCAGCTCGTTGTGCGTCCTCGTCCAACTCAACCCAAAGCTTTCAATCAAAGCAGCTGTTTGCAAAACCGACTCAACCATGACCGGCTTCAACTGAGCCAAAAATTGTGCGTCATGGGCGTAACATTTTTGGCGAGAGTACTTGTTGTACCAAAAGCTTGATGGAATTTGAATCCTTTGTTATCTTATTGGCAGCAGTGTGTTGGTTGGCCTCGCCCACTCTTTAACCACTTTAACCTGACGGCTCGTGGGATGGATGAGCTGATTTCACTTCAGGACTGGGACGTAATGGATGCACTTTGAGGAAGATCTTCATCTGGTGAGTGTATGCAAAATATTTAATGCTAAACATAACACCCCAGAACACCTTTGTATGTAGCCTTCTTCATCTGGTTGATTAAATCATTGTTCTGATCATCTGCAGGGGTCTGGTGTTCTGATGGACTTGGATATTTCTGGATCTTTTCTAGACTCACTGCAGAGCAGCGTTCCTGAAGATCAAAAACTGCACTAAAAGGTATGATACCCTCAGGTGGGAGCAGCATTTTTAACTCTGTAAAGTAAAAAAAAACTAAATGAACAGAAACAAGAAATCACTGAGAAATGTTATTTAGTTTTGCAACTTTTGCATACCTGCTCCGTTTATGTTCAATTCATTTTATTGGTAAATTAAAGCCAGTACGAGAAACCAAATGTAAACAAAAAATCATCATAAAGGCACAGTATGTAAAGTCTGCCATCAGGGGGCTCTCAATCAAAACAACAACAAAAGATGGCGTCAAGGCTGGCCGGGAATCATGGGAGTGAGTGGGAGTAGCAGAGAGAACTCCCATGATTCACCGCCATCCTCGACGTCATCTTTTGATATTGTTTTGATCGATTTTAAAACAAACTGAAAGAGCTCAAAGGAACAGTAACAAAGGTCAATGTGTGATGTCTGTCTGCACGATCAGAGGTGCTGCTTGTCAACAGGCAAGACAGGCAACTGCTTGTTGCTTGGAGACAAAAAAGAGCTAATTTTGCAATGATGGCATGAAACCTCCCTAAGGGGGCACCAACTGACAGCGCTCACTCTAGTTACCTTGCTGAACGCTGGTTGTAAGGCCCCCCAAATTGATTTTTGCCCAGGACCCCAACAGACTCTAGAATCGCAACAGTGCACAATGTCAAGGTTATTTTTAATTATCCAGAATAAGCAGGAGGGCTTGAATTTAAATGTATTTTCTTTTTTATGAAGTCTGAGTATTGTTTTCAATCACAGTACTTTAATGTTGCCTTGTTATGTTTAATCCAGCAGAAACTTTGGCTGCACAAGTGGAATTCCCCGGAGCACAAGATGGCATCCATAGCATCTGGTATGTTAACTTACACTTACATAAGACATATTTAACCTGTCAGTGAGGACAATGACAGTAAGGAAACACAACACGAGAACAGAGATGAGATCATGTAACAAAAGAAATGTGGTTAAGGAGGGTTCATAAGCATAAACTGCTGCCTATAACAAATTCCTTCACACTGAACTAGGGTTTGTGTCCTGGAGTCTTGCAGCATTTTTTGGCAAGCGCATTCATTCAAATTCCAAACAGGAAGAAGGTGCAGTAGACGTCATTGAAGACATTCAGGAGGAAGAGACAGTTTAGGTTTTGCCTCCACAAGAATTATGACACGTAGAAGTTGACCAGTGTCGAATGTTTAGTTTGTCCAGTATCAGTACTCTGTAGATTGATTAAAGGAGCAATATGTAACTCTGACACCTAGTGTTTAAAATAGGTACTGCAGTCCAAATTCAAAACAACATCGCCCCCTCCTCTCTAGAGTCGATGTGCATGCAGGTTGCCATGTGGTGGACACTGAAGCTTCAGTGTTTAGCCAGCTCTGCATGGATCTGTAAACCTTTCTGCGTTCTAACCTTTTTATCTGCATGCACATGAAGATATCTGTTCATAAACATGGAACATTTTTGTTTTCATGGAAGGTTTCAGGACTTTATATTTAGCCCATATGTTCCTCTTCTTTGACTCTCCATGTATGCATTCACTAGTGGTTCATCAATACAGGGGTTGACATTAAGTTAAATTTGCGTGTTCAATTGACTAGTTTTCAAAGCTCACTGGCCTGACCATTGTAACTGCTGGCCCAGGAACGTTAATTTTGATTTGAAAAATAACAGTCACCAATTTACTCTTGAACCATTCAGATGCAAGAGTAAATTACAACTTTTATTTAATTAATTGAGCTCTAATTATATCAAATATTTTGTATTTTTCTAATATTTATGTGCTCATATTTATATACCATGCTGGTAACTGTAAGAGTCTAATTAATCTGATATTAATATGAGGCTGTGATAGAGCTGGTATTGTTATGAACACCTTTCGCTCCTTCTTTCTTCTCTGTGAGAAACTCTTCATCCTTAGATCTTTACTTTAGGATCTCTCTTAAGGGCTAAGATACTTTGTGAATAACTTTTATCTTTACCAGGATCTAGTCTTTAACTTTAAGGAGAACTTTAGCTGCAGTGTGTTCCAGCTCATCCAGCTGTCTGCAACTGTGGCTGAAACTTTTCTCCGTTCTGTTTTCGTCATGCCCTGCTGTCACTCTCGAATCTTCCGGTGATTTTTTTCCTTTGAAAGCTGATTTAAACTCGGCTGTTGTCGGGATATGATGGTTTTAAAACCGTTTTACCAAATGTGTTTTTTATCAGAGAAAACTTGCGCTTAAATCTGTGTGCGAGTGTACAATTCGAGCGTAGCGAGAGCGCTCACGGGAATGACAGCAGTGAAGCCGTCGGCTGCCTTTCAACTGTGACACACAAGCGCACGCACGAGCGCTTGATACGTTGATGCTGTAGCAGTTATTAAAGCAACGTTTTTTCAATAATTACTGATAAAACACCAGTATGACAGGAAAGCGCTGTGAAATTGAGAAAGTGTGACTATTTTTTTTCAGGCAGTATTTTAACTGGACCAACCTGGCCCGGGTGGGCCAGCTGAACGTGTAAATAGCTGGCCTGGACTCTGTCAATCATCCATCTAGGCCAGCGGGCCAGTTATAATGTCGAGCCCTGATCAATACATTTAGACAACGAACAGAATCACAAATGTGTCATTTAGATTTCGAGAAAAACATTTTGAATCGCTGACATTAATGAAATGATGATATTGAAGATTTCCCCAGTGACATTATTTTAACGTTATGTTCTCATCGTTTTTGCAGCATCTGAACTCCGAATCCTACTGTTTGGGGAAAAACAGAAGGAAAAGACAACAATAAGTGACTTCATCGCTGGGAAACATGACGTTTCTCATCCAGCGTCAAAACAAAGTCAACAAATCCATGGACAGTGGCAGAGGAAACCATTCATACTAGTGAAAACAGGAGACATCTTCAGTATGAATGAGGGTCAAGTCAAATTTAACCTTAAGAAGTGCGTGGCTGAGTGCCACCCTGGACCAAATGTCCTGCTGATTATAGTGGACCCTTCTGATTTTACAGAGCAAAACAGACAAAAACTGGAGCTCATAATGGGCTTCTTGGGAGAAGACGCTTTGAGATATTCAATGGTCATCTTAACCAAAACGTATAGTGGAGGGAACTCTGCGGTCAACCAACTTATTCAAGACTGTGAACAACATCACAGTATTAACTTTGATGAGAAAGAGTTATGTGACGATGATCGTCAACAATTGATGGATAAAATTAAGAACAAAGCAAGTGAATACAGGGGAGAGTATTTAACCTTTACCGAAGACAAAGATTTCCAGGGAGATGTAGGATACAGAGGGTCCCAAAAAGATATGCTTATGAAGCCTCTGGAGAATAAGCTTACAAGGACTATGTCTGTTAGAGTTAAAGGTTCTAAACAGAGCACAGAGTTTCGCAGGATGATGCCGGGTCGTGAGTCTCTCAGGTGTGGACAGTCACTTGAGAATGCAATGAGAAGATTGTCCCACAAAAATACTGAGAGTGAAGAGTCCTTTGGGCATATGAAGAGTGGACAGTCTGTGAAGAGCAGAAAGTCAGATGGGTTTGTGAAGAGCACAGAGTCTGCTAAAACTGATAAGAGTGAAGATTCTGTTAGGACAGTGAAGTGGACAGAGTCTCAGATGATGGTTCAGGGGAGAGAGTGTCTCAGAATAGTGCTTATCGGGAAAACTGGTTGTGGGAAGAGCGCCACTGGAAACACCATCTTGGGCAAAGAAGGCTTCGAATCTAAAGTCGGTGCAGAATCAGTGACTGTGCACTGCAAAAAAGTGAGAGGAGAGATTGACGGGCGGCCCGTTGCTGTAGTTGACACCCCTGGTCTGTTCGACACCACTCTGTCCCACACTGAAGTCCAAAAGGAGCTTGGAAAATGCATCAGCCTGCTGTCTCCCGGACCTCATGTGTTCTTATTAGTGCTCCAAATTGGGCGCTATACAAAGGAGGAAAAAGATACCGTGGAGTATATCAAGGGGTTCTTTGGCAAGGAGTCAGAGAACTTCATCATGGTCCTATTCACCAGAGGAGATGAACTTAAAGATGAAACCATTGAAGATTTTTTACAGAAAGAAAAGGGAGGCTTTGTTAAAAAACTGATAAATGACTGTGGAGGAAGATACCACGTTTTCAATAACAAGGATCAGAAGAATCGTGCTCAAGTCAAAGAGCTGCTGAGGAAGGTTGAGGCAATGGTCAAAGTAAATGGCGATGGCCACTACACCTCGAAGATGTTCAGCGAAGCAGAGGCAGCCATTGAAAAAGAAAAGGAGAAGATCATGAAGGAGAGGGAACCTGAGATCCTGAGGGAGGAGAGGCACCTTAAAAATAAACACCAAGACGAACTGCAAGAGAAGAAAGAAAACATGAAGGAGCTGACAGCCAAGTTTGATCGAGAAATAGAAGAGAGAAAAAAACTGGTCAAAGAAAGAGAAGAGAAAATAAAGAGGGAGCAGGAGGACAGGAAGAGAGAAAGAGAAGAAGAGGAAAGGGAAGTGAAAAGGCGGGAGTCACTCTGGCGACATCAGATGGGAAAAAGAAGTAAAAGTCTTTATGAAAAAATAAATAATGTACCAGAAAAGAAGGCGGAAGATGAGAAGATGATGCTGTTACAAAGCAGAGACCAAATGACAAAAGAGCGAGAGGCTTGGGAGCAGGAGAGGAAGAAATGGTGGGAGAGACGACGTCAAGAAGAAGAACAAAGACAAGAAGAGGAGGAGTCACGTCTCAAGAAGCTCAGAGAAGAGCACGAAGAGCAGATCAAAAAATACGAAACCCAGAGAAACGAAGAAGAAAGACTGAGAAAAGAGCGAGACGCACAAGATATGAAAGAAAGCTTTGAGAAGACACGGCTGGAACTATGGAGGAAAAACAAAGAGGAGGCTAGAAAGCAGGCTGAAGATCGCAGTACAGTCAAGATTTATGAAAACGTGTTTATCATTGAGGGGATCGAGGACAAAGAGGAAGTTAAGACTCTGAAGCTAAAGAACCAAGAACAAAAGGACATGAACATTAAACAGCTGATCAAGAAAAAAGGGTACAAGAGAGACTATGATCAAATGAAGAAAAGACAAGCACAAGAACTGCATGACTTGAATACCAGATTATTCACGGACGAACTGTACGTCGATATCAACGAGCTAAAGAAAAAACATGAGCTGGAAATAGAAGACTGGATAAAGAAACATGTTGAAAAGCACCCAGATGGCGGGCCTTGTAGCATTTTATGAGATGTGTTAGCAAACACTGTGTCCTAACAGCACGCAAGCGTTAGTGAGACGTTGCGTCGCGAACGATCGCATGCTCGCTTTTCATTCTGCAATGTGTGTAGTCAAGACCACTCCAACCGAGACCAAGACGTACCATGAGACCAGAGTGCTCAGAGACCGAGACAAGACCAAGACATGTAGGGATCGAGACCAAGTCAAGACCAAGACTTGTAGGGATCGAGACCGAGACAAGACCAAGACTTGTAGGGATCGAGACCGAGACAAGACCAAGACTTGTAGGGATCGAGACCGAGACAAGACCAAGACATGTAGGGATCGAACCGAGACAAGACCAAGACATGTAGGGATCGAGACCGAGTCAAGACCAAGACTTGTAGGGATCGAGACCGAGTCAAGACCAAGACTTGTAGGGATCGAGACCGAGACAAGACCAAGACTTGTAGGGATCGAGACCGAGACAAGACCAAGACTTGTAGGGATCGAGACCGAGTCAAGACCAAGACTTGTAGGGATCGAGACCGAGACAAGACCAAGACTTGTAGGGATCGAAACCGAGACAAGACCAAGACTTGTAGGGATCGAGACCGAGACAAGACCAAGACTTGTAGGGATCGAGACCGAGACTCACTGCGGTGTGCAGCGGGCGTGTCACTAATTTAGACGCAAACATCCGGTAGGTTGCGGCCGTAACTGGAGGATAAAAATCCAACATCAAATTAATTGAAGTTATTTGTTCTTTTAGTGAGGAGCGTTTTTCTTCTAATCACAGCAATAAAGTGGAAATATAGGCAATCAGTGGTGGTCTTGACCGGTCTTGATTTAAAACCCAGAGTCCGTCACGTCCGAGACCGTGTGAAAATGCTTTTGATTCCGATTTGAGACCTTCAATAAGTGGTCTCGATGACCGGTCTTGACACCTACACCAATTTCGAGTACTACACCATTACCTTATAGAGCCCCCTACTTCCTCATTGTCTTCAGCGTCAGAAGGAAAACAAAACAAAGGTGTCAAGATAAAAAAACGCCTTGTTGCGCTTGTGGGCTGTTAGGACATTCATACAGTAAGAAACTGACTCAAGATGATTTGTCAATTGAGCTGGCTCCCGTCACATGGTCACATGCTGTTCCGACGCAGTGCAACAGTTTCATCTGCAAGTCTCAGAGCTCCCCAAAATATCTCTGTGAAGTGTCTTGTTCTAAATCCACTCTGATCCTGTATTTGATCATGCCTATAAACCCCTCTATTTCAGCCCTGCTCAGAACAGGCTGTTTCTGTGTCTGTACCTTTAAATGTAAATGAGCTGTGTCTGACCACGCCCCCTCTCTGGAAGGCCCCGGGTGTCTCTGGTTTTCTCGCTCCATGTCCTATTGTTTACCGTGAGAAGGCAGACTCAGAGGGCAGAACAAACACCTAGCTGTGGGAGTGTCACCCACCTGGGGGAGGGGTTACTGCCCTTTGTGATGTCATGAAGGGAAAATCTCCAAACGGCCTGTTTTCTGCACACATTTTCTGAAAAGTGGAGCAGGAAAAAGACAGAGAGGATGGACTTTTTTTTCATCATTTGTAGACAGACTAGAGACACATATTAGTGTTAGAGAAACATGGTGAAGTTTATTTTGTATAATATGTGACCTTGAATTCGTGTGTGTTTGTGTTGAATACAAAATGTTATTTTTCTCTGTGTGTGTTAAATGATATATACTGTACAGATGTCAAAAATGTTTAATTTAACAATGTCTGACATCAAGATAAAAATAAGATCAGTAATTTTGTAGTTGAACGTATTAACCTTAATGTCATGCCAATGCTTGGCCCTTCCTGTAAACTCTACCAAAATAAAAGCTGTTCTGGGTAAGAGAGAGAGTCATTATGGAGCTGATACTTTGATGAGTGTTTGATGGAAAATGATGTGACAGGAGTTTTACAAACAGTAAACCGCGTGAAGTACATTCAGAGCAACAACTTAAGGCTTCGTCCTACCTGTACTGTACTACCATCATTCTGCTCCCCACAGTGTCTGGCACAGCGGATGTACCTCATCCAGCTGACTTACTGGGATCATTACCATCAATAAAGTGCTGTAACGTCCCCTCGGCGTCGTAGATCTGGAAAACACAAACACACACTGAGTCAGGATTTAAAGTATTAAAGTTGCTTCTCCACATATAGTTAAAACAGACTTCTCTATGAGCAGTAACAGTTTATTTTTAAATTATGGATGTCTTTATCTCTTTTACTGAACTATTCATAATGTATGTTGTTTGTAAAACTTCTCAAATGCAATTTCATAAATGTCATTGTATTTAAACATTGCTATGTAAACCAGACGTTGGAGATAAAAGCATTAGGCCTCATGAGAAGAGAGGGGAGTAAACTGTAGGGATGTGCACAGTCTTTTCTGAACTGAAGGAATAATATAATATAGATCCAGATTTAAAGATATATGGTGAATAGATCTGCATCCCTCTCCCTGCAGACAGGTCACAGGTTTGTTTCTAATGATTAATTAATTAATAAATGTGCACAACAACAAAAAACACACTACAAAACAAAACACAATGAGGAAACAAACACGATGGTCAGGCTAAATGTGGCTAGCTGTTAGCGGTACATCCATTATTGTAAACATTTTGTTAGTTTAATTGAGGGTTGTTTCACAGGACACGTTGTAAAACACTCGTGTTGTTGCCACAAATCAACAAGTTGGTCCTGAATGTTTGACGTCCACCAAACTTTATGCTTTGCTGTCGTCGCCATGGTAATGTTTGTTGTTCTTCCTGCTTCAGTCAGCTTGTTTCCTGATTGGCTGTTGTTCCGTTCCACGTGACACTGCTCAGTGTCCGTGCTCGGCCGCCCTCGGTGTTCTCCACCCCAACAGGATTTATGACATTTCAAATCAGGGCGGCCACGATTGTCTTCAAGATGCAAGATCATCTTTGGAACCACCAGATTTATCGGGCCTTTGCCG